AAAATCAGCCCAAGGTGAGTTGTCCCCGTCCATAAAATGATCCATGATCGACATGACAAGAAAGGCAGGTTTCCAAGCAAATACAGTCTCATTAACATATCTTAAGAGAACATTTGCATGAGTAAAACATACTGGTTTGTCAAGTCGGTTCTGAGTCTTAGACAGAACCGACTTGAGGACAGAGTCTATGGTAAATACATAGTTCATTAACATAGCTTAAGACAAATATTTCCATAAGAAAAAAGCATTGGTTAACTCAAGGTTTGAGAAAACTTAAGTTCAGGTGGGCAATGCCAAAGAATGCTCAAACTACGCACAAATGCACTCATCTCACATGTTAGTAAAGTACTGCTCAAAATTCTCCAAGCCAGGCTTCAACAGTATGTGAACAGGAAACTTCCAGATGTTCAAGCTGGCTTTAGAAAAGGCAGAGGAACCAGAGATCAAATTGCCAACATCTGCTGGATCATCGAAAAAGCAGGAGAGTTCCAGAAAAACATCTATTTCTGCTTTATTGACTACGCCAAAGCCTTTGACTGTGTGGATCGCAACAAACTGTGGAAAATCTTACAGAAATGGGAATACCAGACCACCTGACCTGCCTCTTGAGAAATCTGTATGCAGGTCAGGAAGCAACAGTTAGAACTGGACATGGAACAACGGACTGATTCCAAACTGGAATAGGAGTACATCAAGGCTGTATATTGTCACCCTGCTTATTTAACTTCTATGCAGAGCTGCTGCTGCTGCTGCTGCTAAGTCGCTTCAGCCGTGTCTGACTCTGTGTGACCCCATACACGGCAGCCCACCAGGCTCCCCCGTCCCTGGGATTCTCCAGGCAAGGACACTGGAGTGGGGTGCCATTTCCTTCTCCAGTGCATCATGCAAAATGCTGGGCTGGGTGAAGCACAAGCTGGAATCAAGATTGCCAGGAGAAATATCAGTAACTTCAGATATGCAGATGACACCACCCTTATGGCAGAAAGTAAAGAAGAACTAAAGAGCCTCTTGCTGAACATGAAAGAGAGTGGGAAATCTGGCTTCAAACTCAACATTCAAAAAATGAAGATCATGGCATCTGGTCTCATCATTTCATGGCAAATAGATGGGGAAACAGTAGAAACAGTAGCAGACTCTTTTCTTGGGCTCCAAAATCACTGCAGATGGTGACCGCAGTCATGAAATTAAAAGATGCTTACTCCTTGAAAGAAAAGTTATGACCAACCTAGACAGCTTATTAAAAAGCAGAGATATTACTTTGCCAACAAAGGTCCATCTAGTCAAAGCTATGGTTTTTCCAGTAGTCATGTATGGATGTGAGAGTTGGACTAAAAAAAAAGCTGAGCACCAAATAATTGATGCTTTTGAACTGTGGTGTTGGGGAAGCTTCTTGAGAGTCCCTTGGACTGCAAGGAGATTCAGCCAGTCCATCATAAAGGAAATCAGTCCTAAATATTCATTGGAAGGACTGATGCTGAAGCTGAAACTTCAATACTTTGGCCACCTGATGTGAAGAACTGACTCATTGGAAAAGACCCTGATGTTGGGAAAGATTGAAGGCAGGAGGAGAAGGGGATGACAAAGGATGAGATGGTTGGATGGCATCACCAACTCAATGGAGATGAGTTTTAGTAAACTCTGGGAGTTGGTGATGGACAGGGAGGCCTGGCGTGCTGCAGTTCATGGGGTTGCAAAGAGTTGAACACGACTGAGTGACTGAAATCACTAACTATGTTCAGGTGGAAACAGGTGTTGTCATGGCAACACAGAATTTTAAAAAGAAACTTCTTTTTAAATTTGTATAGAGAAGGGGGAAAATATAATACTAGCAGTTTGTTTCCTCCTGCTGCTAAAGAGAGAGATAAAAAAGTCTGACACTTGCCACCTCTTTCCTCTGTTAGGAGACCCCTGGCCCTCCTGCCTGTTACCCTCTCATTAGTATCAGAATTTCAACTCAGATTATCTGATTCTCTCCTTTTGACTACTGTACTGTATTGTTTCTCACTGTTCTAGTATTTCCCAAACTGTGTGGCTGGACCTTAGAGGCGCTGTGGTATATATTAAATTTTTGAGGGAGACACAGTGACATTTCTGCAGACCACTGGCTCGAGGTGGTTTGGCATTCAGTATTAGATCATACTCCATTTCTCTTGATGACATACCTCTGCAAAGCTAGATTTTCAAGTGCTGGGGAAAAAAGCAGGTGTCACACAAAAGTCAATATAGAACAAGAAATGAAGGCAATAGTTTCCGGTTACAAGGTTTGAGAAGTTACGCAGTGCCCAACAGATGCACACATCCCATTAGGAATTAATGTGGTTAGAGGACATAAAAATACAATATTTTCCTTCCAATGTTTGTGTTATTTCTTTAGAAGGCTATAAAATTGTTAGGGAATAAATACCTATTAAATTGTTTGGACCTAGCTGCTTGGCAGGACTGTTAGGTATTTCTTTTTGACCTAAGGAAGCCATGAAAACATTTCTGAGATGCTACAGGTGCTGTGAGCTGAGAAAGTTTGAGAACTTCAGTAAGCACACATATGCAGGTTATAGAGAGAAGAACGCAGAATTTATTGGGCATGAGGTAGGAAAGCAGTTTGTGAAAGTTCTTATTGTATCAATGATGAGGTGTAAGTGTTTTCATAGGAATTATCACAGGAGCATTTGATTTTAATTAAACTTGGAAAGGATGTTAGTAACCCAGTGGAATGCATCCCAGCAGATCCGCAGTGTGATTGTGTGACTGATAGAGAAATTTAAAATCATCGTATAGGTGGGTGTCTTAAAATTATGACCTAGGTAAAACATATTCCTAAATTATGTCTAATCTGATAAAAATACTATCTCATAAGTTTGTTGTGAAGATTAAATGATGAAAAACAGCAATCAGTGAATGTTGACTGCTGTTAGTATTTTTTATTATTATTGTCTGTTGTTATTCGTCATCATCATCACCATCATCTCGGAAGGATGCATATCCCACTAGGACAGCAGAATTCTTACCCAACATAAAACACAGGCAAAATTGTTTGGTAGTTTCTTTGACAGGTTAAGGAATCTGAGAGGTTACTGGACTCCCAGTGCCTCTTTTAGGTCCATCCTTTATTGAATCCCTGGATAGATTCACTTGTGAATCCTTCGAACCAGGTTTTTACCAGAGACTGGCCTGACAAATATTTCCTGAGGTCTCTTTAGTCCCTAGTTCTACATCTATTTGGAATAGCCTCTAGGGAAACTTTGGAGACAAATTAAAATTTCCTTTCACTTATCTGATAGATTTAAGTCTTTTCTCAGCTGTATTGGTGTTAGTGACAGGACTGTATTCTTGATACGTTTTGGCATAAATTAAGATGCTTAGTTACTAATGTCTCATACTGGGACAATCACCTCTTAATAGTACTTGTGAAGTAGCATTTTGTGTTAGTCATTTGTATGGCATTTCCAGTTTACAAAGTGCTGTAATATCTGTTTTCATTATTATTATATTTCTCCATAGGCTTGACAGGACAGATAGTGTCTTCATTTTATGGTTGAAGAAGTTGAAATCAGAAAAGTACATAACTCATCAAAGATCACACAGCCAGTTTGTGACAGATCCATACCTTGATAACAGATTTTCTGATTTCCAGTTTCATGCTCCTTACGATCTTCTGTTCTGCAGCCTCTTGCCTCACATCCTAAAATAGGGAGCAGAACATGGGACAACTCAGAAGTCCTGGGGTCAGTTCTAGGTCCCATCTTTTGGTTTTGGGAAAATCACTTTATCTGAATCTCTATTTCTTCATTTGTGAAACTAGCTAATAATATTACTGTAATTTTCCTGCAGGTTGGTTATATTCAGTGTTGGAACCAAGATTCAAATACAGTTTATCTGGTTCTTGAATCTGTGCTCCTAATCACTAGTTACACTGACTTGGCATCATTAAGAGATAAAGTAGACTTTAAGAGTTGGACTTAACTTGGTTGTCCAATGGTTAAGAATCTGCTTTACAGGAATGCAGAATTCGATTCCTGATCCAGGAACTAACATCCCACATGATGCTGGGCAATTAAGCTCACATACCACAGCTAGAGAAAGTCTGTGTGCCACAACGAAGACCCAGGGCAGCCAAAAAGAAAAAAAAGGTTGTATAGCAAACTAAATATACTACGAGATATAATGACTTTATCAGCTATTACTCCCAACTCTAACTGAGTCTTCTAAAGTAACTCAAGGTTTCAGAACTCTGGAGAATTGTTGTTCAGTCGCTCAGTCCTGTCCAACTCTTTGCAACCCCATGGACTGCAGCATGCCAAGCTTCCCTCCTGAAGTTTGCTCAAACTCATGTCCTGAGTCGATGATGCCATCCAGCCATCTCGTCCTCTATCACCCTCTTCTTCTCCTGCCCTCAATCTTTCCCAGCATCAGGGTCTTTTCCAATGAGTCAGCTCTTCGCATCAGGTGGCCAAAGTTTTGGAGCTTCAGCTTTAGCATCAGTCCTTCCAGTGAATATTCAGGATTGACTTCCCTTGGGATTGACTGGCTTGATCTCCTTGCTGTCCAAGGGATTCTCAATAGTCTTCTCTAGTATCACAGTTTGAAAGCATCAGTTCTTTGGCACTCAGCCTTCTTTATGATCCAAATCTCACATCCATACATACTACTGGAAAAACCATAGTTTTGACTGTATAGACCTTTGTCAGCAAAGTAATATCTGCTTTTTAATATGCCATCTGGATTTGTCATAGCTTTTCTTCCAAGGAGCAAGTGTCTTTTCATTTCATGGCTGCAGTCACTGTTCGTAGTGGTTTTGGAGCCCAAGAAAGCAAAATCTGTCACTGTTTCCACTCTTCCCCCATCTATGGGAATGGGTTAAGCTGAATGTTCAATGATTAAATGACCTATGTAGTTACTTAAAACGTAGGTGCAACATTGGAAAAAAAGGCTGAAAATTTTGGAAATCTTTATTCTAAAGTGTTTTTAAAGAGTGTTGAAAATTCTTTTCTTTTTCCTTACAGCACTGGGAGGTGTTCAAAAAAGTAACAGAAGTTTTCATTTTAGTTCCTGCACTTCTTGGTCTCAAAGGGAACTTGGAAATGACATTGGCATCCAGATTATCCACTGCAGTAAGTTTATTCCTACCTCTAAGTATGTATATTTTCTACACATGTGCACACGCATGTTTATATGTGTGTGTGTGTGTCTCTGTCTCTTTGTGTGTGTATAAACATCACATATGCTGTTCCTCTCTATTAAGGAGAACTTTTATGAGGAAAAAAATTTTCTCCTCTGTCTACTGATAAGTTTCTAAACCTCAGGGCTATGCTAAGTGATTATGCCTGTTATCATGTCCTGAAAGTTCCCTGGGGTGTCTGATCTGGGAATTACAGGCCCTCCTTTACCCTGAGAAGAAGTAGCATTCTTGCCTCCTTTCATTTTGGGGTATTCTGACTATCATCATCAGTGCTTAAGACATGGGCAGGTCAGACACTGAGTTTCTTTATGGTTTGATGGTTGGTTGATTGGCATTGAGACTTTCTGTGATTGTAACAGTAATACATGCTTATTGTAAAAACTGAAGGAACGGAAAAACGTATAAAGAAGAAAATTTAAAACTACCCCCAATTCTTTACCTGGACATAATCTCTATTACTATTTTGTTATAGATCCTTCTATACTTAAATAACTCTACTTACACATAGGTATAGCATAATGTGATATACATATACACACACACACTCTATATTCTTAAAAAAAAGAACTGGAATCGTATATATTCTCATTTGTAATCTGTGATATCCATTTGAAGAGACATCATGATCATCTTTCCATGTCAAGAAATAGGGACCTATACCATTGTTTTTATTGGCTGTGTGTTTTTCTGTTGTATAGCTCTACTGCGATTTAATCTATTATTGAATATGTAGGTTCTTTTTAATGTTTTGCTGTTATGAATATTCTTGTATATACAGTTTTATACTATAATTTCTTTTGGGAAAATTCTAAGATGAATTTATTGTTCAGGGGAGAAAAAAAGCATCCTTTTATGACTTGAGCCACATACTAGAAAACAGTCATCCAGAAACATTAAACACTTTTAAAAACACTGCCACTAGCAGGGTTCTGAGTTTTTATTTTAGCAGATGAAAAGGATTTTGTTTTCCCTACTGTAATACTTTTTTGGAGTTCTACCATCATGGAACCAAATTATGATTAAATCCATGTAGTTAGTGAGGCTCACTTCAATGAACCATCAGCCCATTGAATGTTATTGTTGTTGTTGTTCAGTTGCTAAGTCATGTCTGACTCTTTGCGACCCTGTAGACTATAGCTCCCCAGGCTCCTCTGACCTCCCCTGTATCATGGAGTTTGCTAAAATACATATCCATTGAGTCGGTGATGCCATATAACCATCTCATTCTCTGCTGCCCTCTTCTCCTTTGCCTTCAGTCTTTCCCAGCATCAGTCTTTTCCACTGAATCAGCTCTTTGCATCATGTGGCCAAAGTATTGGAGCTTCAGCTTCAGCATCAGTCCTTCCAGTGAATTTTCAGGGTTGATTTCCTTTAGGATTGACTGGTTTTGACTATAATTTTACGTTATTGAGTATTAAGAGAACTGGAGAATAATAGAAGCTGGAGTTCCTTAGACTGGAACATAAAAGTCCAAAATGACCCTGGAATATCTCGTGCCATAAGGTAAAGAAATGCTAGAATAAACAAACAAAGAATGATAGGTACATGATGAAAGGGTAACATACAAACCAGATCTGGGATAATTCGAGCCACAAAATAAATAATAATATTTACAAATTATAACTCATAGCATGAGATAAGAATCCACGAGTTTGCAGATGGATAACAGGGCAGGTATGGTCTCTGCTGTAGTAGAATTTACATAAATAATTTCAGATATTGGTAGAGGCAGTAAAGAACATAAAACAGGGTAATGTGATGAAGGATGATTCACGAGAGCTGTTTTATATTAGGTGATTAGGGACGACTTCTCTGAGGTGGTGTGCAAGCTGGAAAATGGAAAGTGAAAGTTGCTCAGTCGTGTCCGACTCTTTGCGACCCCATGGACTATACAGTCCATGGAATTCTCCAGGCCAAAATACTGAAGTGGGTAGCCTTTCCCTTCTCCAGGGGATCTTCCCAACCCAGGGATCAAATGCAGGTCTCCCACATTGCAGGCGGATTCTTTACCAGCTGAGCCACCAGGGAAACCCAAGAATACTGGAGTGGGTGGTCTATCCCTTCTCCAGGGATCTTGCTGACCCAGGAATCAACCCGGGGTCTCCTGCATTGCAGGCGGATTCTTTACTAGCTGAGCTACCAAGGAACCTGAATAATAAAAGTGAGTCAGGCATATCAAAATCTGGGAGAAGACCATTCCAGGTTACTATTGTATCTGATCAGTATAATGATGTCAGTGTAGTAGTATCAGATATTTAAAAGCATTTTGCACAGATTCAGTTTCACAGTTGAGCTTGGGGCAGGAATAAAAACAGAGGCCCTTGTAGCCATATGTGTACTTAGTTTAAAATTATACAACAGGCTTACATGTTAAAAAAAAATCTCCATCTTTCCACCTTTGCATATATTTCCTCTGATGATCTGAAAGTCCAAGATCAAATTTATAATTCTTGGACTCCTTGGGTTCTGTTTTGGAACTCAGTGTTGTGGAGAGAGCCAGTTCCTGGTCTGAGCCCTGCCCCACGACATTCCCCACCCTTGGCTCTATGGTCTGCACTGTGGGAGACCTCACACATCCCTCAGACCTCACATCCATCCACACCCCCAACAACCAGCCAGCCTCTAAGCACTCCTGGGTTTGGGCATGCACCAGAGGTGGCATGGCCTGTCTTCAGAGGATTGGCTTCAGGAAGAGGCCCTGGAATTGGACTCACGGCCATTTGGTCATGGCCTTCTATAGTCCTAGGTATCTGGAGTGTGGCCTAGAAGGGGATGAGGCCCAGGCGTTGAGTGGGCGCACTGCTTGGGTGCCATGCACTCCTCACCCTGTTGAAAGGGGCACAGCTAATGGAGGACCAAAGTGGGGCCTTTTAAGCTACAGTTCTCAAAGCTGGCGTCCCTCTTACAGATTCCAAACTTCTTCTGGCCTAAGGAAAATTACATGATATAGAAGGGATTTCAAAGCTGCCTTGTGATGTACTTCAGTAAGATACAAAAACAAGGGGAAAAGTTATATATTAAGAAGGATTGGCCACAAGATCAGTCTAGCAGGCCTCGGTGCAAAGAAATTATTTCTAAAAAATTTAGAAATAAAATGGTAATAAGATTTTGGGCTTCCCAGTTGGTGGCTCAGTGGTAAAGAATCTGCCTGCAGTGCAGGAGGCACAGCTTTAATCCCTGGGTCGGGAAGATCCTCTGGAGGAGGAAATGGCAACCCACTCCAGTATTCTTACCTGGAAAATCCCATGGACAGAGGAGTCTGATGGGCTACAGCCCATGGGGTGCAAAAGAGTAGGACACAGCTGAGTGACCAAACAACAACAACGGCAGTAAGATTTTCAAAATTTGATTAAATTTCACATTTGTTCTAACATCGCAGAAGTTCATTATGTAATGTGACATTGCTGTCAGCTGAATATTGTTTTTAACATTTGGCATCCAACTGGAATGTGTGGAATGTGTGTAAAAGCTGCTATATCTTGAACTTTTGTCTTAAAAAACAGCAGTATGTTTATGTAGTTTTACTAGTTTATGTAGTTTTCCGAGTTAGTGAAATTACATGTGTTTAATCTGCCATCTTTTCCCAGTGATCCACACTTGTATCTGTTTTAAGAGCTGGTAGGTTACCTAGATAGAACTCATTCCAAAAGGCTTTTTGGCAGGAGAGGTGAATAAAGAAGAGGTCTTGAAAAATAAGAGTGACAACATTTAAGGGAAAAGAAAGTTATTAGAATGAGAGTTAAAAGGTGGCTTTAGTTTCATTTTGCTAGAAAATGAACTTTGTTCTGATAAATATAGTTAGGCACACAAATATTTAAGCAGCTTGCTAAGTTTGCCAAGAAAACTGAAACTTTAACTAACTTACCGCAAGGAAAGTATTTCTAAAAGTGACATTATTGAGTATTACCCAGCATTTGTTCAGATTCAAATAATAGATTAAACATGCCAATCCATTTTAAAATAGGCCATGCTGTAGGGAATCTAATTAAAAAAGAATGCGCTGCAAGTTAAGTTGTTTAATTTGACCATTATTACCATTAAGGGCTTCCCAGGTGGTGCTGCTGGTGAGGAACCTGCCTGCCAGTGTACGAGACATAAGAGACGCGGGTTTGATCCCTGGGAGGGCAGGGCAGCCCTCTCCAGTGTTCTTGCCTGGAGAACCCCATGGACAGAGCAGCCTGGCAGGCTGCAGCCCGTGGGGTCACAAAGAGTCGGACACAACTAAGTGAAGCGACTTAGCACACATGCACCCATTACCATTAAAGCTGAATTTCATCTTTTTATTTGAACTTCATTTGTTGTCACTATATTTTATATTAGAACTTTTTATCATATGTCTCGTTATATTTATTTTTCTGTTCATATTTAAGACAGGAGAACTCCAAAGCTGAATAGAAGCTCAGAACACGGTCTTTACTGCAGGGTCACTTAGCTGGGCCTTTCATGGGGAAGATTGGGGTGGAGTTGCTGTCTTCCATAGGTCAAGAATTGTGTCACTGATTATAAGATATCTGAGTCATGAACTAAAGGGATTATTCAGTTCTCTAAGCAATTAAAATACCATAAAGAGATGAATAAACCATGTTATTATAGCTTGATGTCATGAGTTACTACTTTTCCATCTACTGATTTGTTTAGTTTTATATTTTGAGGCTATTAGAGGTAGGATGACACGTCCCAGGTATTGCCAGGGCCCGAGGCAGGGCCACTGTTAGATCAGTAGTTCTCAAAATGTGGTCTTCTGAGCATTAGTGTTAGCATCTTGTTAGAACAGCAAGTTCTCAGCCCCACTCCAAAGCTGCTGAGTCAGAAACTCTGGGGTGCGGCTTACCATGTGTATTTGAACAGTCTTTCCAGATGATTCTGATACACATCAGAGTTTGAGAACCACCATGTTAAATGAAGGGCATGGAGGCCAATAGGGTTGGGACC